TTAAATTCTCCAATGAAAAGATATAGAATGGCTTAATGGAAAAAAAATTAAAAACACTCCACTGTGTACTGACCACAAAAGACTCATTTTAGCTTAAAAAAATACAAAGACTTAAAGTGAAAAGAAGAAAAAAAGCCTGCAAATTGAAAACAAAAGAAAGGTGGGGTAGGTGTGCTTATATTAGACAAAAAATATGTCAAAGCAGGATTGTAATAAGAGTAAAGAATGTTATTTTATAACAATAAAGGGATCAGCCCAACAAGAGAATATAAATGTGTAAAATTTATGCTCCTAACATAGGAGCTACTAAATACATAAAGTAAATATTAACAGACCTAAGAGGGGGGAAAAAAGACAATAATACAATCATAGTAGTAGACTTTAGTACTCCACATCAGTGAATAGATCATCCAAAGTGAAAATCAATGATGAAACATTAGACTTAAATGACATTGTAGACCAGATGGATTATACTATAGCCATTAACTGAACATTCCACCCAAAAGCAGCAGAATACACATTCTTCTCAAACATAGATGAAACATTCTTCAGGGTAGAGCATATGTTAAGGATAAATCATATGTTAGGCCTCTATACAGGTCTTAATTAATTTAAGAAGATTGCAATCAGATCAAGCATCTTTTTTGATGAAAATAGTATGAAACTAGAAATCAACAGGAAGAAGAAAACTGGAAAATTTCCAAATGTGTGGAAATTAAACAGCATGCACTGAACAACCATTGGGTCAAAGAAATCAAAATAGTAATAAAAAAAATTGAAACAAATGAATATGGAAATACAAAATACCAAAACTTATGGGATGAAGCAAAAGCACTTCTTTTTTTTTTTTTTTTTTTTTTTTTTTAATCTTGAATATTTTATTTATTTATTTTTTTAAATATTAAATTTTATTTTATATTCCCCCATACAATTGCAAACGCCCCATTCTGACCCCAATCCTTCCCCTCCCGCCCCCCATCCCCCAAAAAGTGTCTCTGGTTCATAGTTTTTTGTTGATTTTGATTTTCACTTTCTTATATTCATTTTCCTGGTCCCTTATTTAAGTTTTCTAGATTCCTGCTATGAGTGAGACCATCCGGTATTTTTCTTTTTCTTTTTGGCTTATTTCGCTGAGCATGATCCCTTCCAGTGCCATCCATGTTGCTGCAAATTGCATGTGTTTATCTTTTTTGAATGCTGAGTAATATTCCATGGTATATATGTACCACATCTTCTTGATCCAGTCATCTATTTTTGGGCATTTGGGTTGTTTCCAAAGCTTAGCTATTGTAAACAGTGCTGCTATAAACATAGGAGTGCAGGTGCTCTTTGGAATTGATGTTTCTGTGTCCTTTGGGTAAATACCTAGGAGTGCAATTGCTGGATCATATGGAAGCTCTATGTTTAGTAGGTCCAGAAATCTCCACACAGCTCTCCATAGTGGTTGGACCAGTTTGCACTCCCACCAACAGTGCACAAGAGTTCCTTTTTCTCCACATCCTCGCCAACATTTGTTGTTGCTAGTTTTTTTAATATGTGCCATTCTCACTGGTGTGAGATGGTATCTCATGGTAGTTTTGATTTGCATTTCCCTGATTACAAGTGATGTTGAACATTTTTTCATATGTCTGTTGGCCATTTGCATTTCCTCTTCAGAGAAGTTTCTTTTTAGCTCTTCTGCCCATTTTTTGACTGGATTATTTTCTTTGTTGTTGCTGAGTCTCATCAGCTCTTTGCAGATTTTTGTGATCAGTCCTTTATCATTAGTGTTGGGTGCAAAAATGTTCTCCCAGTTGGTGGGGTTTCTCTTTGTTTTTGTTATTGTCTCTTTTGCTGTGCAGAAGCTCTTTAATTTGATGTAGTCCCAGCTGTTTATCTTTCTCTTCACTATCACTGCTTTGGGTGATGTGTCTGTAAAGATGTCTTTGCTGTGCAAATCCCGTAGTGTTTCGCCTATATTTCCTTCTATGTATTTTATGGTTTCAGGTCTTATGTCTAGTTCTTTAATCCATTTTGAGTTGATTTTTGTGTATGGTGTGAGGTAGTGGTCAAGCTTCATTCTTTTGCATGTAGCGACCCAGTTTTCCCAGCACCATTTATTGAACAAACTTTCTTTGCTCCAATGCATAGTCTTTGCTCCTTTGTCAAAGATTAGTTGACCATAAATCTGTGGGTTTATTTCTGGATTTTCTATTCGATTCCATTGGTCTGTATGTCTGTTCTTGTTCCAATACCATGCAGTTTTGATGATTATGGCTTTGTAGTATAGTTTGAAGTCTGGGAGTGTGATGCCTCCATTTCCTTCTTTTTTTTTCAGTAGAGCTTTGGCTATTCGGGGTTTTTGGTGATTCCATATGAATTTCATCAATAATTGTTCTATTTCTTTGAAGAATGCCATTGAGATTTTGATTGGAATAGCATTGAATCTGTATATTGCTTTTGGTAGGATGGCCATTTTAATAATGTTCATTCTTCCAATCCATGAGCAGGGGATGTCTTTCCATTTCTTTGTGTCTTCTTCTATTTCTTTTAACAGTGTTTTATAGTTTTCTTTGTATAGGTCCTTTACCTCTTTTGTTAGATTTATTCCCAAATATTTGATTTTTTTTGTTTCGATAAGTGAGAAGTTCAGTAACAAATATTTACATTAAGAAACAAGAGAGGAAACATGAATATACAGTGGGGGAAAGACAGTCCCTTCAATAAATAATGCTGAGAAACTGGACAGAATGGAATGGATCATTATCTTTACCCATACTCAAAAATCATTTCAAAATGGATTTAAGAATTGAATATAGGGCCTCCCTGGTGGCACAGGCAGTTGAGCACCGCACTGTGAAGCTGTCCGCAGCCTCTGCAGCGCGGGTTTGATCCCCGCTGGCCAGCGAGAATCCTACATGGCGAAGCAGACCTCTCCTGTCTCGCCTGCTGCTCCCCTCAGCAGTGTATTTCATCAGTATGTCTGTTCTGTTCCCTGCTCTATGGTGAAGCCTCTCACCCTCCCACGCATCTGGCCTGTACCCTGGTTCTTGTATAAATAAATAAATCTGAAAAAAAAAAAAAGGAATTGAATATAAAACCAGAAGCCATAAAATTCCTAGAAGAAAATGTAGGGAGGTAGATACCTTGACAAAAGCATGGGTAATAAAACCAAAATTCAACAAGTAGTAGAAATCAAGTTGAAATGCTTCTGTACAATAAAGAAATCATCAGTAAAATAAAAAGGCAGTCTACAGAAAGGGAAAAAATACTCACAAATCATATATTTAATAAGATGCTAATGTCTAAATTATATAAAGAATTCATACAACTCAAAAAAAAGGGAATTGAATTTTTTTTAAGTGACATAGGATCTGAGTAGACATTTTTCCAAAGAAGCACACAAATGGCAAACAGGTACATCAAAAAGTGCTCAATATCACTATTCAGCAGGGGAATACAAATCAAAATTACAATGGACATTATAAACAAGATAAAAGCAAGTGTTGGTGAGAATGTAGAGAATAGAGAATCCTTGAACTATTGATGAGAATGTAAATTGTTGCCCCTATGGAAAACAGTAGAGGTTCCTCAAAAAATTAAAAATAGAACTACCATATGATCCAGCAATTCAACTTTTGGTTATTTATCCAAAAGAAACAAAATCACTTTCTCAAAAAGATGTCTGCCATGTGCTTGTTTGCAACATTATTTGCAATAGCCAAGATATGTGAACAAACTCTGTGTCCATTAACAAATGAATGGCTAAAGAAAATGTGATACATAATGTAATGTTATCCAGGATAAAAAAGAAGGAAATCCTTCTTTTTGTGGTAACATGGATGGATTTGGTGATATTATTCTAAGTAATGTAAGTGATATATGCTAAAAGAAAGAAAAATACTTTATAAATTACATATAGCTGGAATCTAAAAAATAATTGATAATAAAATTTATATAAAATAATTGATAATAGAAAACAAGTTGATGATTGTCAGGGGTTGTGATTGGGGCATGGCCAAAATATGTGAAGGTAATCAAACTTCCAGTTGTAAATAAGTCCTGGGCTTATAATATGCAGCATGGTGATTGTAGTTAATAACACTGTATTGTATATTTGAAAATTTCTATGAGAGTAGATCATAAGAGTTTTTATTATAGGGATAAAATGTATAAGTATGTGATTATGGAAGTTAACTAAACATATTGTGGTAATATTTTTTTAATTATGTATCAATTATGTTATACAAATAAAATTGACATAAAATGTTATGTGTAAATTATATCTCAATTAAAAGAAAGAAATATGGATCATTTTAAATAACAATCAACTCTTCTCTTTGTCAATAGGGCAAAATAAAACCAGAGAAATATAAGACATTTTTAGGTTCTTTCAGATGAGAGAAGTTAATGAATAAACTCAGTCATAGGAAGAAATGTTTGGAAAAACATTCTTATATGAATTAATAATCTTAGTTGTAAAATTTTAGAACTAGACTAATCTTTCTTAATGTTGAAATTGATAATAAACTCTAAAAACCCCTCCTATTTTAAAATGTCTCTAAACTCATCCCACTGCCATTGATATATGGCAATTGTTTCACTTTAAAACATAAACTTCCCTGAGAGGAGGGAGCGCAAATATAAGTTCCACTCAACTCTTGAGAGCCTTATATGTTAGACTTTTGAACATGAACATTACTATGTCATGCATGTTTTTATACAATAGATCATCAAATTGAATATATGAAGCTGAAGTTCAAGAAAGATAACCTGGCCATTGTTTAAAATGTTATTTTATTTGAATTCCATGTTCTAGTTTTCCAACCTACCACATTAAGTATTAATTGTAAATACTTCAGCCAGAATGCCCAATTTGTAGAGCAGTTGATGGATATCTAGTAGAACAATTTTATTCCTAACACAATCATTGACATGTAAGAACAATGATTGATCTTTTTTGTATTTAAAGCAGTCATTCTTTGTGATTTAGTTTTCATCCAGTTTCTTTTTCTTTTTAGACCTGTATGTGGAATCAGAGGGAAAACTCTCATAATTAACCTGCCAGGTAGCAAGAAAGGATCTCAGGTAAGCAATCTTGAGATTTATATGGCTTAGTGTAAGGACCTTTGGCTAACTGTGAAAGTTAGCCAATCAAAATATTGGAACACTCTGTAGGACTTCCCTCAATTTCATCACCAATTGAAATTCATTGCATTCATAATAGCACTCCAATCTCACTAATTCACTAGAAGGCTCAAGGGGGCCTCCCTGGTGGTGCAAGGGGTTAAGCACTGCACTATGAAGCAATCCGCAGCCTCTGCAGCACAAGTTCAATCCCTGGCCAGACAGAGAGCACCTCACATGGTGAAGCTGACCTCTCCTGTCTCACCCGCTGCTCCCCTCAGCAGTGTATTTCGGTCAATCTGCCTGTTCTGTTCCCAGCTCTGTCTTTGGTGAATCCTTTCACCACCCTCTCCCCGCCCCCTGCATCTCTGGCCTGTACCCCAGGTCTTGTATGCATAAATAAATAAATCTTTTTTAAAAAAAGATTAAAATCAATAAAGGGAAGAAACAACTAAGACAAAGAAGAGGAATGGCACCAAATCACCAAATATGGAACTTCCATTATTCTCTCTATGTGGGGGTCATGAACATATTACTCTTCTGACATTGACATGTGATAACACAGGAAGTATTACCGACCTCCAAGACTTGAATGTCCAGAGTTTTTATTGGGACTCATCATATGTCAATCCATATGGTTGACATCTGGCACTAGCCCTTCCCAAAAATTGAAGTGATACCTATAGTCTCCAACACGCTCCAGAGGCAAAACTGATAGCACAAGCTCCCATTATAACCCACATGGTAAGATTATCTACTAGCCAAAGTGTCCAGACAAACAAAGGCACTTCTGTCACCTCCCAGTAACTTACTGCAATGCCCAGACTTTCTTTGGGCAAAATTAATTCTTCATTATGCAAACTACATCCTGGCCTTTCCCCAAGGCTCTCTTATAGTAGAACAATTACACATGTCTGACTGGACATGTTATTATAGCACTTATATTACAGACACAATTGTATGTCTGTAAGATTTGAAGGTGCCAGAATGGAATACGGACAGATTTAGACAAAGAGCTAATCCATCCTATAGAGCAACCACACATATTTTCATACTTTTTATACTTTTTTTTTTTTACCTTTATCTACTATTACTTGTAGCCCATGATACAGTCACATATAACTATTTACCCTGAAATTTAGTTCTCTTCTTCAGGTTGATCATTTCCACGGGTTTTACATTTTAAGGCTTGAGCTCAGTTTTCTAGTACATTTGGCCATCAATATCTGTACTATAATCTTATTAACAATGCCAGTATTGTTACATTACAATATAGTGGTAGATATGATCTGAAAAAATAACAGTTGGAAGACACTGGAATATTACTGGAGACCTGCCCAAATATTAGCAGTTAGCCTAATCCATTACCATATCCTTTGACTAATATGTTTCCAAAATGATACAAATCAAGTTGGCAGGCTTGTTGGGTTCCCAAAAACAGGAGCAGTCTCATCAACATATGATACCCTTTCTGGCATGTATTACAGATAAACTAAGAAATAATGTCATCTCTTATGCTAATCCTCTTTTGAGACACCAATGTAATGAATTTTCCTCATTGCATAGCACTTTTATTCATTCCTTTACCCTTTAACTACCATTCCTCCTCTACATTTATACCCAAACGTTTCCTTTGAAAACCTTTGATTTAGACAGTTGCTTTACCCACTGTGTGTGTCCAGATTGCCATCAGTATTACTAGTTTAACAAGTGCCTCTCTGTCAGCCCATTTCCATTCATATAAGGTAGTGTTATAGAAGTACAGGATTGGTGAGCAGTCTCAAACACTAGGCATTCTAACTGCATTCACTGTCAACCTTTATTTGGTCAGATTAAGTAAGGTATAACCTATCCCAGGAGGTATTTAGGAATTCCAGTTTAAAGTTTCAAAGGTATAGTTACAGTTCTGTTTAGTAATCATTCCTGCTTCTGGCACCCACAGTTGCTGTCTTGACTTTTAGACTATATCAGGTAAAAAAACAAAAAGGAAAATTGCTACAATATGGGAAAAAAAGAAAAGGTGTTGTCCTGAAAATATATAGTCATACTAGCATCTTCCCCAATACCATCTTCCCCAGAATTGTGGAAGACTCTATCTAGTAGTACCTTCTTTTGGCCTCCCTTATGTAAGTGTGATTTCACACTCATTAAGGTGCATGACCAACCCTTCAAACCTTTATCTTGTCCCATTTTAGACACCAAATGTTTCAGTTGCCCATTCCATTTTTCTATCAAATCATTGCTGTCAAGATAAAAGTGTGTTCACTGATGTGAAGAAATATGACTCAGCAGTCATTGGTATAATATCTTCTTTTCTGTTTATTTTACAATACCCTATCTCTCTTGTTACCAGATGCAATAGCTCTTGTTGGTATTTTGTGCCTCCTTGTACAAAAAGAATATATCTGGATTCAGCCTTTTGCTACAGAACCTCCAATGTCCACTCATCTAATGGGGCCAGGTAGCTATGTCGAGCAAGCACACCAGGATATCTGCTCACCAATCAACTTCCAATCAACTTCCAAGTCTGGAAAAGTGTTCTGATGAGCACTAATATATCCTGCTTTACTATACCCCTTAAATTCTCAGTGATACCCATAGGTCCATATCTCCTACATACACCCCCTTAATAGACTCATATTTCATTACCCTTCTGCTTGATCATATGGCCCAGCTTTTGGACACTTCCAATGAATCAGTAAAAACCTAAAAATAAAGATAGGGGCAAACATCTTGCAGTTCAGCCATGGAGCTGACTTATTTTTACCTTCTTCAATCAGAGTGGCGGCCTTCCAAACAGGATGCTGTCCGTTCACCTCGGAATTGCCATGCATAAACCAAGCAGATCTTTGTTGATCAATAGAAAGATGTTTTTAGGGCAACGCCTAAGTGGCCCAAATGTCCATAGGATCCAGCAGCAACTCAGGTGGTTCCGAAGTCGGCCATAGGGGAAAAAGAGGCTACCTACTCGTGAGTACCTCCTTGCATTCTCCTGGTAGCATGATCCTGTATGCATCATTTCCATTTTATTATGGAAGTTTCCTGGGCATTGCCTTCCCCATTAGAGCATTCTTTTGTTGTTACCCAAGACATTATGAATATTTCAGGTTTCAAGATTTTTCTTTTTATTTTTGCCCTTCAATCATAGGGGCAGGCTCAATTAAAGAAAGCCCAAGAGCAAGTTCACAATTGTCTCTCAAATGGAAGTTTTCTGTTCCAAATTCCTAGTAGTTATTGCTGGATGACACTCTCAGATATTTGCCATAAGCCCTGATCTTTATGCAGGACTATTGTACAGCAAATTAATGACCCAGTGGAGTCAGGCAATCTTAACCTATTTAGCCTGTCCAATTTGTATTGATGCAAGAGCAGATTTACTTGCCTTCTGCTTTACAATGCTAAAGAGGGGGAGAATTCCCGCGTCAAGTACAGCATCCTTTCCCATAATACATTCAGGTAAGAGAAACTCACCACTTCACATAAAAGTTCACCATGCAAACATTCTAATTTTCATCAACTCACTTTCATCCCATCAACTATTGCATTCCTATATCCTCCCAATCTAACTGTACCCCCATTAGGACCTCAACCCATATTAGAATCACAGTACATGGGACTTCCATGTCTAGGAATCCCAGAAAGTCTATTCTCTGTCCCCGCCCATGTGCATATGGCCTTGGGCTTCTAGTCCTGGGTATGTCCAGAGATCCAACCCCTTTTGTCAGTCTTTTACCTTGATTAGATTGTTGGACCACACTTAAAATGATTCAAGGTGAGGATTCTTAGAGGCATCTGTGCCTCATAACTTTTTTAATTCCTCCAGCCTATGGTAAATAGAGATTTGTCTAGGACCCTTCAGTGTTGGGAGACTAGCAGGATCTCCCATTACTCCACTCAGCCTATAACAGTGTTACACTAGGACTTTTGTTTCTGCCCCTCAGTGTCTACTTTATTCATCCATTTCTTCGTAGTCATTTAAATATTTTTATCCTTTTAGGACAGGTTCCTTGAATCTCTGATTTCACATACTTTATTCTTTTATGAGTCAGTCCAATTTTATTTAATTATTTGTTGTTTCAACATAACTTTCTCCTTAGACAACAACTCTGAGGCAAGCGGCTGTGTTCAGACCAGTCAGAATTCAAGTTTGACCCAGTTTCAGAATCCACCCCAACATTTTCCCTTACTTTCATTTTAGCTAGTATAATAACCAAGGGATTGTATATTTACCTTGTTTCTTGTTATTTTGCATGTCTTTATGTATCAAGTGACACAACTCCTTGGGGTGGATCTTTCACTTTGAGATTCTATCTCTAAATTTTATCTCCAATAACTTAAAACAGCACAGCTGCAATTCCATACTGTGGTTGGCCCTGTGGTCATACAAACTCTAGAGATTCATCATCCCCCCACTTTCTCTCTTTTCCTCTTCTCAGATCACATGTTTCAATGAGTCCAGGTCTTTTTAGTTAATTCCACTTGTGACACAAACTCCAAAGCATTTTGGCAAACTGCAAAACTTAGTCAACTACAAAGATAGAGCAACCACCAGGCTGCCCTCATTTCTGACACCAATTACAATTCATGGGATTTCTAAAGCAACCCTTAGGTTTAATAATATACAAGAAGAATTCACAGAATTCACTGAAAACTCATTGTTATGGTGTATTATGGTGAGAAAAATACAGATTAAATTCAACCAAAGAGAATAGCACATAGAACAGTCTGAGGGAGGTACCAGACAAAGAACTTCTGGTCATCTTTCCTGGAGCAATGGACAGCATTACTACCTCTTGGTTACAATATAGCACAATATGCAAATATTGTTGCTAACTAGGCCTTAAATGTCCAAAGGTTTTAATGCAGCTCAATCACATATTACCTGTTTAGCTGACCTTTAGTCAGAGGGGCATTCTTATGGCTTTAATTTCCATTCTTTTCAGAGGCAAAACTGATAGCATGTTTCCCAAAACCCTCATAAAAACTACATTGTTGGATTATCAATATCCAAAGTCCCCAAGCAAAGAAAGATACTCCTATCAGGTTTGATGTTCCAAAGAATTAAAAGGCAAGAGTAAAGTTCAAATCTCAAGTCCATTACAAAATCTTTGCTATATACTCTTTATCAGTAAAGTGAATGAGCAAAAGAGGTCAAAATATTAGGTCCCTTCTAGGTATTTCAGTAATTGTAAATTCTAAGATATTTCTTTACATCTTAGATTTTAAGGTAAGTTACTTTAAATATAGTAGAGTAAGACCTGTACCCAAACATATTCCCTAAACATATCCGGCCCTGTGTTTTGCTTTTAAAATTTTTACCTACTCTCTTTTGGTGATTCAGTATAGATAATAGTGGGCACCTGAGCAGGAAACTATATAGCTTTTGTGCAGTGCTCTGTGCAAATATTATCTACTCTTACATAGTTAAAACATTACCTGGGTCTCCCAGGTGGCACAAGGGGTTAAGTCTCAGCACTATGAAAGTACCAGCAGTCACTCCAGCATGAGTTCGATCCCTTACCAGGGAGCTAACCCCTATCTGGTGCAACAGACCTCTTCTATGTCACCCACTGCTCCCCTCAGCAGTAATTTCAGTCAGTCTGCCTATTCTGCTCCCCACTCTGTCTCTGGTGAATCCTTTCACCTCCCGCACCTCTGGCCTACACCCCAGCTCTTATATGCATAAATAAATAAATACATGCAGTTTGTAGCAACATGGATGGAGCTAGAAGGGATCATGCTCAGCGAAATAAGTCAGAAAGAAAAAGAAAAATACCGATGGTCTCACTCATAGCAGGAATTTAGAAAATCTAAATAAGAGACCAGGAAAAAGACTAATCAATACAAAGTAAAAATCAAAATCAACAAGCAACTATAAACCAGAGACACACTTGTGGGGAGAGGGGCGGGGAAAGGAAGGACTAGAGTCAAAATAAGAGGGGAGGTGCAATTGTATGGGGAATACAACCAAAATGAAAATGCATACATTGTGCAAAGAATGTAAGAATTATATAAAATAAAATATTTAAATAAATAAATAAATCTTTAAAAAAAAAACTATTACCTACCTAGGGTGAAGAGTTTTTTCTGCATTTTCCATATGTATCTTTAAACTCTAAAGTTGTGTAGAAACTTTACTTTTGAAAACTCACTATGTGCTTATATAGTGACTGATAGAGAGGGATACATGACCAAAGTCACAAATAAATTTGGTTGATTCCATTTTACATACCTATAAAAGTGCTTCATCTTCATTTTTTTCTTCCTCTTGTATACAGGAATGCTTTCAGTTCATACTGCCAGCTCTACCTCATGCCATTGACCTTTTACGTGATGCCATTGTAAAAGTAAAGGAAGTACATGATGAACTTGAAGATTTACCTTCCCCACCACCACCTCTCTCCCCTCCTCCCACAACTAGTCCCCATAAACAAACAGAAGACAAAGGGGTTCAATGTGAAGAAGAAGAAGAAGAGAAGAAAGATAGTGGTGTTGCTTCAACAGAAGACAGTTCCTCGTCACATATAACTGCAGCAGCCATTGCTGCCAAGGTAAGTCTGCCAAGAAAGACACAAAATTCTAAAGGACCCACAGATAAATGCACTGATTTCATCCCTTTTTCATCCTTCCATAATTTTAATACTGGGATATTTATGATATTCCACAGCTATGTTTTCTACGTAATATAGAGTTCTTGAAGTGATTGACGTTTGTTTTGAGTCTGTGGCATTAAAGAGATGCAGTTAACTACTGAAGTAATAGCTATAGTGATGAACAATGTGACTTTTAAGAACTCTTTGGAAATGTCATTTTTGTGGACATACTAAATATACAATGTTCACATATTCAAAGTATCAACTATTAATAAATTCATAAAAGAACAGAAACATGAAGGTAAAGAAACCTTAGATAATTCAGGAAATTAGTTGAGAAAGAATAATAAAAAAAGTTTAATAAAAGAATTTTTTGAAAACAAGGCTTTTTAGCAGTTAACTGAGCACTTCAATATTATATGATGCAAATTACTCTAGTGGTATAGAGAAGAAATAGATCTAATACATTTTCATTTTTTGCTTAATAAAGTAATAAATATTATTAGGACAGTTCCAAAGTATTACAAATTCTCTTTGAAAAATTCTGGGAATAAATAGAGTACCATGAGGTATTTGAGTAAATTTCGTCATCTTAAAGTCATAGGACATGATTTACATTATTATATGTCCCTTCATAGTATTATCTACCCAATATGCTCTAATATCTTTGGAAAGTGCTAGTATATTACATCTGGGCATATTGATTATTCATTGATTGGAAGCATACAGATGAAAATCTAAGCATTATATGAAGTATATGAAGTTCTATGTTTTATGGATCATCCACAACTGCTTATAAGCATAGTGTGAGAGGATTTTTTTAACAACATAGATTAGAAAGAATCACAGAGATCCTTTTGAATTGTCCATGCGGACAAGAAGTAAGTGGTGGTTCTTTCTCTGAAGACTGGTGATTCTGTCTACAGATCCATTCTGTGATCCATTAAGTCCTTATTTAGAGCTAGTAAGTATTTCATTTGTGTACGGGATTTGTGTTGTTTTGTTTTTATGGACCTGATAGTGAAATAGGTGCATTCAGAAGTCATTTTATCTACTTTCTCTTTTACACTTAGTTAAAAGAGTAAAAAAAGTACCATCGATTTTAATCTTTAAAAAAATGTGTAACATTTGAAATCAAAATTTATTTTGTCATTCTGCATTTGCAAAAATTTGACATTTCATTGTTTCATTTGTTTTCACACTTTTTCTTTTCCAATCATTTTGTTTGTATAGTTTCATGTTTTCCTGTCACTATATTCATAGTTGTTATGTGTTGTGCATTAGAAGCATCCATTCTACACCAGTCCTGCTGTTATCATGGCACACGGTGAGCAGCCCATCCCAGGTCTCATCAATTATTCCCATCATGCAGCATGCAGTGCAGATGAACGGGTAAGACAAGAGGCTTTTGCATTAATGATTTTGCAAGCATTTAGCTTATCTCCTATCCTTGGAGGTATGCGCTAACATATTATGGAAACTGTTTTATTCTGAAGGATCTTCAGCACTGCCTTTTTTGTGAAAGTGTACGTGCCACAGAGTATATTCCATCAAGGAATTTAATTTAATAGGGTTTCAACAATACTAACTCTAGTATTACTAATATTCGTTAGTGTATGGCAATGAACTTTCCTTACATCACTTCTGAGAAATTCATTGCTCATAAGTTTTTTTCCTTTAGCAATTTCATCACATACCTTAAAATAAATCCTTTAAGAGGATCACTTTAAATCTTATCATCTAAAATGATTGATGAAGCTAATTTTTTATTTGTATTAATCGTGCTTTTTTTTTCATGATTTTGCATCCCATTTTTTTTCTTCACTATATTCTCATTATATCCACTATGGAAATGAATCTTAATACATATTCTGAGATTACTAATGTTCAGATAAAAATGCTTAAGGATACATATCACTGGTTGAATGTTAGTTTAAAAAAAAATGCTGGGTTAGAAAAGATTTAGCTAATAAGTAAAAAACTGTCTAAACAGTGATCATGTAGACAATAGCTATAAGAAATCCCTAATATGAATATTAAATGAGGGGGTGGAGAAGAAAAAATAAGAAGTTCTAAGGCAAAATTTGTTCGTGAATGTTTAGGAAAGAAAAAACACTTCAAATTGGGAGAGGGCGGGAAGGAACTAGTAACAGTAGTCTCTTGGGAGAAACCCCACCAAAACAAAACTTTAACACTTATATTCACCAAACCATGCCTCATTGGAAACAAACTTGGACTAGCCAAAGACTAAGTAGAAAATTTAAATATTTATTAGTAAAGTCAATAATGAATTTCAGTTGATAACTAGTATGTGAATTCCCCAGATATATGTTTATTATAAATTATATACATTCCAAAGTGTATCAAACTTGACATAGGATATTCTTTTGTATTCTTATCTTATAAAGCAACCTCAACTGTAATAATCATTCTGTTTTTTTAAATTAAAGTATTTGTAGGTTTTGTATTCATGGCTAAGCTTTTAAGTTACCATGTTGAGTTTCATTTTATTACACTGAATAATTTGAGTGACTCTCTTTTGCACTTTTTGCAAGGATTGCATATAACTAGTACCATTCTAGATGCATAGCATACATACAATAGCTTTTTTAAATTATTATGGCTTAATTCTTTAGAAGAACTAGTTGAGAACAGTATTATAAGTGTTCTAATTGGATATCCTTTTATGGCATTACACAGAAACTTTTCATATATTATTTTGTAAGTAGTGCTGTTAGTCTTTTTTGAGAGATCTTCAGGTTTGTAAATAGACCCACATTTTTATGCTTCTTTTGTCAACTGGTAACCAGTTATTCTTGAAAGAGTTCTTATTCCTGGTACTTAGCATTCATAGAGAAGAATGAAATAGAAGAAATAGGTAACAAAATTGTGAAATGGGAGGCCTGTAATTTCTTGGTGCAACTGAAAAATCTGTTAACTTTGTGAATGTTTATATGGCACTAATTTCATTAACAAACCTCATTGCCTCTAAATGCCTTGATTCGTTCAGTGTTTTAGTGTTTCAGATAACTACATGAGAACAGTCAACTGATCATGTTCTGAGCTTATAAAATAATGTAAAAACTATGCATCTTAAAATCAGAACACCTGGATATAAGCTCTGACTTTAACACTCAATGATTTAGACTAAATGACTCAATCTGATGTTCAGTTTTTCATGTGTAAAATGGAAATAATAATGGTCCTTTTGCATGTGACAAAAGATAATTATTTGTAACAAATGAGATAATGTATATGAGGGAAATATATAAACTTTGCAGTTAGAGTTTAATATTTACAAAAGTCTTTTTAGGTGTCAAACACTATGTTTGCTGCTCAAGTACATATATATAAATTGTCCCAACCCATAGAGTTCACAGTATAACTGTGAAGACATTCTTAATGATCTTTTTACTTACTATTTTTTCCTAACTCAGTTATCCATTTCTTGTGAGCAAGAAAGTAAAATCCTGTTGATTTACTCACTTTTCAATAGTTACTAATAAACTGATTACTAATTATTGCTAAACTGATCAACTTGCTTTTTCAGGAAATAGAGACTTTAAGATGCCTCATAATGAATATTTGCTGCTTACCTCTCCAGCAGCCATTTCTCAATTACTTTCCCTAACACTGTACCAAATTTCCTAGTCACATAGTTTGTCTAAGCCTCCAGGGTAGGTTACCTGAGTAAAATCAGCCTATCCATTTCCTGTAGCCACAGTTTTTAGTTCAAGGAACACATGCTTTAAGCCAGCCAGAGCTAATAGGCCTCACATCTTAGATTTTATTTGATCTACTAGGGCCATAGACTGTTTCCTACTGGATGTGAATGAGGAAATAGACAACACCAAGAATGGTCATCTTGGAACCATTAAAGAAATGCCTGCCAATAATGCAACAAATGGGTCACATTGGTCACAATGTTCAAATCATTCACACAAGCCCCTATTGAACTGTACCTACCTTTTGACTTTTCAGTTGCATGAGCCAATAAATTACTTATTTTTAAAAGGTGAATTGGAGGTAAAGATCAATATATTGTTGTCTGCAACCAAAAAACGTGTTAACTAATATACCTTGTTATATATTGACTCTTTAAAGAGATGTATATTGATTAAGTGTGTATGTTGAATAAGAATCCCTGAAGTTTCAGATTTGAGTGAGAAGCTAATCCAAAGTGATACAAGCATAAAAAGGTATAGCACAAAGAAGGAAAAAAAAAAAAGGAAAATAAATTCTGCTTTTCTATGATTATTAAATAAATATAAAGGTCTTTTCAATGAGACTGGATCCAAATATGAAGAAATTTCAGCTTGTGCTTTGTAGCCTCAAGGCAACTAATAGGTTAAAATATCCAAGTTGTAATGACAGGCAAGAAGGAATTTTGAGACAAGCTAGCGGTAATATATCCTTGGGGCTACAGAATCAGAAATCTTACCTCACTGAAAGAAATCAAATCTTCTAGAGAAGTCCAGCATAATAATGATATTTCCCAAGCTGCCTTGGTGCAAAAAAGTCTGCTGCTTGTCTTGGAAAGAAATTGCTGATTTCCTCTTGGCAAAATATATGGAGAAATTAATATGTTACATGCATATATCCAGTGAGAAGATTGTGTCTTCCTAGAGCATTTAGGCAAAAATGCTGAGCTAGCAACCTGCCACTACTGTAGATTTTCCTGGGAATAAATGGCACCATTACGAAAGATCAGAGACATTATAAAGTTTGTGCACTTGCACATGCATTAACAGCTATGGTTTGATTCTATCCATGGGCATTTTGGTATATCAAAATAATAATAATTGACTGCTAGTTACCCTTGCAAACATTTCATATATGTCAGTACTTTATATGTGTTGTTATTTTACTTATGAGGGAATTAAAGCACAAAGAAATTAAGAACATATAACTACCTGGTAACTGAGCTGATATTCAAATTCACCCAGTCAGCTTTTTAAAACATAAAGTAAATCATGTCACTTCCCTACTTGAAATCTTCAGTGGATTATCATTACATTCAGAATAAAACCAAAACTCCTTGACATGTTCTGCTAGATTCTACATAATCTAACTCCTCCCCACTTTTGTAAACCCTTCTCTTAACATTAATTACCCTTTCCCCATTGCTCACTAAGCTTCATCAAGTTTTACTTGCTTTGGGGAACACATTATCATAAAGTGTTCAAAACTACACTCTGCCCCTGGCTAACTTCTATTTATTCTCTCTGTTCCAGTTTAAGTATCTCTCACAGAAAGATTTATCTAATCTGCCTCCTCTAATCTAAATTATGTTTGTAGTTATTCTCTCTCTCATTTGAGTTCTACCTATATACTGTAAAATTCATGAGAACAAGGATCACAGCTCTTAGTTTATTTGATCTGTCCAATATCTAGCACAATTTGACACATGGTATGCATTGTAGAACTATTTGTTAAAGATGTTTCATGAAAAAAGCTATGCTATATCATCCATCACTAAGGAATAGATGTTCATTAAGTTCACAAGACATATAAAAATAAAGATATTCAGCAGAACCCATGATGTATAAGGACTCTTCCATGAAATAGATACATAATCAGTATACTCTCTCCCCATAGTAAATGAATATATAAAGTGACTATAGTAATAATAGATATTTATGAATGCTAACTATATAGCAGATACTATTCTAAATGTTTTATACGTACCATCAAAAATTGATAGTAGAGTATATGTATCAGCAAAATTATATCTTTTTATTTTCCTGAAAGACAGAAAATTTATATGGGAAAACAAATCATAGTGAGGATTCTGATTACTGATGTAAAGAACAAAAATTCTGAAAAAATTTAAACAATCAGAATAATTTTATTAAGTATAATTAATAAACAAACTGCAAAGAAATGAACTCAAATGAGTATTTAAATTGTTAAGTTTATGATTTGGGTCATATACATATGAGACTCATTCCAATTACTATAAATTTGTTCAGTAGTTCACCAATACACTTATAAATTTCATTGGCATCAAAACAAATTTTAGTTTACTTAATTGATGTTATTACTGGTATTTCAAAAGACTACAGAGTTCAAAAACAAGAAGTGATATTTTGACTATGTATTCTAATTTTGATAACTCCATTTCTTCTTTTATATGTGTTCACCCGGTCAAATTAACTTGAGGAAAGAAAAACAGCACAGATAGAATCAGAACAGTTCCTACAAAAGCATGTACCCCATTACAATTTCACTTAATGAGGAAAATTCTATTGTTCAATAATTCACAGTTGAAATTACAGTGTATATCTACAGAGAATTTGAGAGCAACTGAGACAAATTGTTTTCTCCATGCTATCAGTTGCATAAGATAATAAAAATGCAGATTAGTTCTTTAAAAGTAGGAATGTTATTTC